TATAGGGTTACAAGGATTAAATTAAAGTATATGTCATATAAAAATGGCCTTCCTATGGTATTCCGTAACGATGTCATAGTACGGGCAATGGATGATATTTATTAAACACTGGCCCCTAGTAGGTAGTGAGAATAATAGCAGTGATATTTGAATTGGGACTTGAAAGCTGATTGGAGTTTGACTGGTCAGAAGAGAGGTGATGAGAAATTCTAGATAAAGGAGGAACATAAATGAAGTCATTGGAGTATATGATGTGTCCAAGGATTGCTAATTAGCCCTGTGCCTGGGGCTGGGCACATGGCATGGGGGGAAACGCCACCTGAAGGAGAGGTGCTGGCTAGATGAATGAGATCACAGAGGTCCTTTGAGGGTTTGGAGTTCACTTCTTTGCTCTCTAGTACTCCATCTTTCCACCCTAGGGAAGTGGCACCATTTTGTAAAGTAAAAATACTATAAAGGAGAGAGAAAGGCCTTTCTACACTGCTGGAAGGGGCGGTGGGTACAGTCCTTTGGAAGAGAATTTTAGCAATAAAAAATTAAAGACCTTCCCAGGGTCTTCATCTGATAATTTCACTTTTAGGAATTTAGGAAATGAATCATCACTTTTTGAAAAGATTCCCACGCAAGGATTTGTAACTTTGGCAAGGCCAAAAGTTAGAAATGCTATAATGTCCAAAGATGCAGGATAGGTTAACTTTCCCAAACTCAGGTTTGGAAGCTCACCCTTCAGAAAAACCAATGCCTGAGAGATCAGTGTTGGGGAGGAAGAAAGGGAAAGGAAAGAGAGTACAAGAAGAGAGACAGAAACAGAGCAATCTATGGAGAGTAAGTTTAAGTTATAAACACCTCCCTTCAGAGGCATACAATTGCACGATTGGTTTGCACAGGAAGAGGGCCCCAGCAAGGACTTGGGGACAAGAACTGGGGCTGGGGACAACATAACTAGGTACAGCACGAGCCCAGTGCATTGTGCAAGGCAGTTCAGGGTGCCCTAGTGGGACACATGCTCTGTGAACACCCAGAAGACACCCCCAGGCTGCCCAGAAATATTGGGGGTGGTAAGAGTTTGTAGGGAAGAGGCTCAAAGTCAGTAGGGTAGGGCACAAACTCTGGGTCAGCCTCTCTCACATGCAGCTGTAAGCTCCAGTGACTGAAGTGATTAAGTTTTTTTTTTTTTTTTATGGGTGGGTTTAGAAAAACAGTAATTGTTAAGTAACCACCACCCTGGGTGCCTTCTGTCCCTTGTGCCTGTACCCTTCCTGCCTCTCCACCTTCACGTACACTGCATAGGAATGGAAACTCCAGCTTTTGTTGGGATCCTGTCCCCCAGGGCACAAGAATAAATTGGGGAGGAAGAGACCTGTGACTGACTTGGATGGTTCATATTCATCCAGTCCACAATCCACAGGTTAGCAAACACAGGCTGGGTGAGTTCGGGGTCTCATCCTTCTTAGGAAAAACCAAATCACCTCACATTGTTGACTTTGCCACTTCCGCTCCCTGACGAATGTAACAACACATGAAATCTCCCAGCTGATCTGTCCAAGCACCCTGATATTAGTTCACCCGGCCACACAAGAATAAATTGGGGAGGAAGGGACCTGTGCCTGACTTGGATGGTTCATATTCATCCAGTCCACAATCCACAGGTTAGCAAACACAGGCTGGGTGAGTTCGGGGTCTCATCCTTCTTAGGAAAAAC